CTGGATGGAATCGGATGGCGAGCTGGCCTCGATGGTGGGCCCAGTCTGGACGGGGACGGCCTCGTCGTGATAAAAACTCTTGCTCCCTTCGTAGCGATACCCTTTGCTCCTAGTAGCTTCTTCTTCCGAGTAGTAAGGCCAGGAGACCCTAGTGGCGTTGCTGTTGTTTATGCCGTTGCGTCCATCTCTTGCACCCTCCGAATGTTGTTTTCCTTTTTTCTCAACTTGTCTGAAAAGTCAATGTGACGTGTTGGTCCGACGGATTATTTTTTTTGGTGGAGTAAGGACACATTATGCGCTTCAATTCTAAAGGAAAGAAGAAAAAAGACGACAAAATACAGTGGGACAATCAGAAAGTAGATCGACTTCACCACACTCGCCAGTTGGCGGTGCTCGGCCGCCTCATGGCGGAACTTGGGGGTCACTTTGTGCGGTTCGCAAGGGGCTTACACTGCGGGAAACATGCCGAGAAACAGTGTGGGCTTCGAAATGAAACCGCAAAGAACTGTAAGCATGTAATTTGGTGAAAGTATTCCAATCGATCTTCAAACACCGGTTCGTAGATGGTCACATCGCTCAATTCTAGTCTTGAAGCGTGAGGTGCGAAGTGGTTTCACCAGCTTTCATCTCCACACATCGTCCAGAACCGTTGAGATGAAGAGTTGGGAGAATCTTGGAAGTGGTAGATTCTGGTAGATGGGTTTGTTTTCAGTATGAGTTGTTCTTCTTGGATCTCAAACATGAAACATAAGCTGTCGAACCCGAACCCTGTTGACTAAACTGTGAGGTTGTCAGCGATGGCAATCTTCCTGCTGTGCCCAGTTCTCATGGCAAGTGGAGGAGTGAAGCAAATTCAGATGCCAATCGATGGTGTTTCAGTGTCCATCGAAGTCGCTGGTCCCATCGGGGAGCAAGGTCTTCAATCCACATGGATCTACCCCCACATGGTGCACTTTCGCAGCAAGAACCAAGTCTCTTTGTTTTTGGTGTTCTTGTTTTTCTTCGCTTCCGACGTTTGCCACTCCACGCTCCCATGATGCGAACGACCGACAAGACAACTGCTGCGGTGTCCGAAAGCATGCCACGAGGTTGAACGACCTTTCCACCTTGGCGCAACACTTTGTGCGGTTGTGGCTTGGCCGAAACTCAAAAGCACGAAACACTCGTAGAATCAATGAAGCTAGTCTGCTCTAGCTCCTTGACGCATTGTAAGTGTCAGAATTCTTGTATAGTCAGGAGGATTAAGGGGCAAAACAATCAGAGAGGAACAGCGACAGCAGGAAATCAATATGAAAAGGAAGACACCTGACGACCCAAATTCTTTACCAGCCTTAACACCTGGAACCACGACAGCTGACTTCAAGTTGACCAGGCGACACACCGACTTGGCCCGGTGTGGTTTGGATTTCTGGTACCAGGCAAGGGAGTCCAGGCTTCTAGGTTAAAGGCTACTAGGGGCTCCTGGCCTTACTACGAACGGAACAAGAAGCTACTAGGAGCAAAGGGCATCGCTACTATAGTAACAAGGAGGTTGGAGGCCTCCTTTCGCCAGGGCCTGGCTGTGCATTTGGGCGCCGAGGCCATCGAGGACGGAGGGGGGTTGGATGGAACTCTTCGGTTGTTTTGTCGCCAGACATTCCATGCGACCGGCAGATATACCTGATTTGGGGTGGTTGACCTGGGATCAATGTATATATTAATATATTCTATTAAGATAGGGGTTGGAATTTCCTCTACAAAATCGCGGGGTTGGACCCCTAGAAAGTTGGTCAATATGGAGGCTTGTAACTAGTACCAACCTGGAAGTTTCTCGATTATATAGAGAGAATTGTTGTTTTGTACAAGCTCGATTCTATAGAGGTGTTGAAGTGATGGTGTAATGGATCTTGGTGCCTCGGGCATATTGATTCTATAGAGAATTATTAGCATGGGTTTGCATGTCAGGGATTGCAATTCTATAGAGAAGTGGATGACTTGGGGACGACCTTTGGACACTATAAAATCACAGACCCTTACCTGTCCATGACCCCCTCTTATTTCTCTATAGATTTGCGGTCCTACCAACTGGGGAATCAATGTCTTCTTGGACAATTGCATGTGTTCTCCAGAACCTTGTACCTTGATTCTATAGAGACCCATGTTTTCACTCCTATTGGGAGTACCTCAGGACCTACATTTTTATAGAGCAAGATCCTCATTCCACAGCTTTTGACAGACTCATGGCCCTCAATTCTATAGAGCTGACTCCTTGTATTTTTACTTTTTGTCCCATATCTTTCTCAATTTAATAGGGTCAAAAAGTGACCATTTTTTGAGGGGGGTTGGTCCTAGCATTTTAGCACTATAAAATCGCTACCCCCGGGGTACCCACTTAATACCAACCCCTATTTCTAATTAACTTCTTATTGTTACTAGTAGTAAGGCACTTGTTTCTAGTAGCTTCTTGTTACTACTAGTAAGGCACTTGTTACTACTAGCGAGGCACTTGTAATTACTAGCAAAGGAATCAAAAGAATATTCCATACCTACAGTGTTTGAGTGTTACGATCCGATGCCGCGAGAAGAGCAAGTTCAGTCGCGACGAGATGGCGCAGTTCGTCGCTGCACAGATGATCTCGCCAGGAAGACCCCTTTGATGAGGAGGGCGGCGGACAGGCCTCACTTATGCCTGAATGAAGCTGTAAAGACATAAATAGAAAGAAGGACACAGAAAGGAAGGTGAAAAGGTTTCAAGGTCAAAGAAGGAAACTTGAATAACTTCAAAGGAAGAGACAACCAGAACGAACCAATTCACACTGCACAACCCGAGGCCAAATTGAAGCTCCAAGTCTTCGGATCAAGATGGATCCATCAAAATCATCAATTTTGTTGAAGTCTCTTCAAGACACTAGTAGCTAGAAGCTACTAGGTTGGAGGCCATTTCTACTAATAGCTAGAAGCTACCAAAAAATTGGGAAGATCACTGAAACTTGGGTCTTCCGGATTGAACCAAAAACAACAAAAAACCATCAAGACGCGAAGAAAACACGTCTTAGAACCCGATCCAGGGAATACCGATCCAGGCTTGGGCTGGCCATCGGGACCCCGACGCCGAAACCCACCGGCGAAGCCTGGAGAAGTTGGAAGCCGAGCCGAGTGTGGCAAGAAATTGCTCATGTCGGCTGTCTATACACACAATGATAAGCCCATATATAAGTTGTATATATATATATATTTTGTATATTGTATATATATATATAGTTATACATGTATATATTATACGTATACATACACATAGTTATATTTGTTATATAGAGATACAAAAGACGTATGAGATTCGAAGATATTCTGATATACCTCTCAGTCGTTTGCCATCCTTTACGATCCGCTGAAAAAGAACCGTTGCTGTGAAACAAGACCTGTCAGATGGCAGAATGGCAGAATGAGCGAAGACCCGTGCAAGGGGACGCAGCATCGACCAAGGCCCAAGCTTGAGCAGCACATTCAGGCCATGGTCCAGGCGGAGCATTGGCGGAGCATTCGGGGCATGTCGTCCATACCATGGTCCTACATTGGATAGAACCGGGCCCGGTGTGTCCGTTCTTTTCATAGGTCTTGAAAAGAAATCACAGTCGTCCAATCGCACAACAAATCGTTCGTGGGCAACTCAACTTCTGAAAGATGGCCGCAGGCTCACTGGCAAGCGGTACGATACCCCGCAGAGCCAGAGCAAGAGGCTGGAGATGAATAGCAGGTCATTGCAAAAGATTCTTGTAAAGATGCATAAAGATACTTGCAAAGTAGTTGGACCACGACCCCGGCCACGCGGTGTGGTTTTCTTGCGATGTTCATGTTTTTTGTCCCATGTAGTGAAGTATGACAATATTTGTTTTCACTATTTAATAGTGAAAATATTTGTTCTTCTGTGTATGTGCACACCCGTACATTAGATACTCTAGATCCTCTTCTATGCGACGCTGCATTAGAAACGCTTCTATGCTACGCATCAGTGTGCGACTGACTTTGAGTGGGGTGGGATGCATGGGGATGCACACATATATAGAGAATTGGTGAATGAGCTTTTCAAAATCGCAAAGAGTTTTGCTATCTTCCAGAACGTAGAATTTCAAGGCAGATAATTGGCAATGTGCACAGAGCTACAGCGCCATTGACATTTTGCCGAAGACAAAGGTTATTTTGCGCCACGGCGCAATAAGGGTCGTGCACCAAGTAGTTCCACATAGTTCCACCTTTAATTCTGCTCAAAGATTGTCATCAAGCAAGCAGCGCAACCAGCTCATTGGCCTGTCATTCCGCAGCTGTGCTTCATGAGGGTAGCACGTGCAACGAGCACGTGTCACGATCATGTTACATATGAGGGCAGCACCGAGTGCTCAAATGCTCAAAAAAGTGCTTAGTGCCACCCAGTGTCACCATTGTCACCACATCCCTTGGCTTTGGAACATGTCCAGGTGAACTTCGAGTGGGATGACTTTGTGCGTTTTCGAGAGCTTTGCAACATCAACATCACAGAAGTCACTAGCTCAGCTTTTCACAGTTTTGCGTCGGTGTGGAAACCCGTTTTCGGCAGATAGGCTTGTTGAAGCTACCAACATTGCTGGTGCCAGCTTTGTTACATTTCAAAGTCATCAGCTGTTTGTGCAAGAGAGGGGGGTTTGGCATGAGGCCTGTTTGGTGGTTACTCCGCGATGGATTATTGAACATATTGGCCAATTGCTGGAGGCTGGAAGTAGTTGTACGTGCGACCGTCTAGTCCAGCTAGCAGCATCATGAACGGTGCCTGATATCTCAAAGCAGAACAGCCTTTCATGAGACTTCATGAGAAATATTGAGTCTGGAATAGAGCCCTTTGGAGATCTGGCGAAGCATCCTTCTTGTGTTGTTTTGTGTCGGATGTTATTTTCTCGTGTGGTGATATAGTTTGACCCTCAACTCCACACAGCACTGGAAAGTGGACCTAATCAACTGCGATTGACTGCGTTCATGCCATTCATGCCAGCATGGGTGACTTTGCTTTTGTGCATCACGTGCAGGAGATTTGCAAGCAGAATCCCATTCCATGGCAGGACGCCTCACAGACCCGAAGAAAAGAAAGCAAGCAAACGGGACCTTTCAGCTGGATGTTTGACGAATGCTTTCAGGATATTGATGCATGCGTCTTTGTGCTTGCCTCAGTCGAAAGAAACGGAAGACAGACGCACTTGCCAGACTGAATCAGTGACATGCCGTGCCACAGCACCGTGCCGCAGCACCGGAGGTCCTGACTGGTGTGGCATCACGAGCACCTGCAGGGCAGGATACCGTGATCCCGCGGCTCATTGAGCTTTTGCCGGGGAGCTCGGAAGTTTGGGCTGGGAAGAAGTTCTCTGCAGGGGAAGTTGGGACCAGGCCAACTTCGAATCGACTTTCCGAAGTTCGACAGTTTAAAAACAGAAAAAATAATACAAACACATCCTTTTCTTCATGAACAACGCCGCCTTTCACGACAGCCTTTCAAAGCAACCCCCTCCCGGACCCCTCCCGGACCCCACCGACGTGTTGATGACCCTCGCGGAGGCCACAGCTGCCGTACCCCACCGAGGGCGTCAAGGCTCTGCTGCTGCGGAGCGCTGCTTCGCGCCTGGTGCTGTTCACCTCAGGCAGAGCGGAACGGCCGAGGACCACGGCAGGTCTTGAAAAGACGGAGTGGGCGAAGATGCAAGGTGCATCGCTACTAGCAAGGACGCTACGTACTATAGGTTTGTTAAGAGTTGCCATTGGAGCATTGGTCATGCAATTGGTTGGGGGGTCGCAGATCGACCGACCATGTCGCAGGCTACTTGGCCCTGAATGAAGGTCCCTGCAAGGCATGGGCATGAGCTGTACAGCGTTGGGAGCGTAGTGAAAGATGTTCGGCCCGAACAGCTGCCTAAACATATGTAAATATCATATTTCCGTATATTTCCTCAATCGATTGAAGAAAGGTTATACAATATGCAACGTAGCTCTTGACATGCTCATGTGCGGTGCTCTTCAAGAGTCAAACAAGAAAGAGTTCAGGTTATTCACTTCAGCGCCCCCCCGAACCCAAAATGTTGAAGGAATGGCTTCGGGCGAGCGGGTGTATGCTTGGGCAAAACGCACCTCCAAAGCACAAGATCATCCACAGTGTCCAAAGGATTGCGCCCAAAATGAGTCAAATTAAAAGCTCACTCTTGCATGTGTTCAAGTGCAAATAGTTACTCCAAAGCACAAGGGAATTCCAAGTCCAGAAGTAGTGTGCGCAATGGAAGCCAAGAGAAGAGAATGAAATATGGAGTTTGCCCCCAAACAACTCTCCCAAACCCGGACAGTCCATTGCATCAAAACATGATCCATAGTGTGTCCAAATCCTGTATATAAATAGTTTCCGTTAAAAGAACCCAACCGAATTTGACCTGCAAGCCCGAATCTGGTAGGGCCTAAGAAGACAAGTTGTGCTTTTACCAAAGACCCTACGGACGCAGGCATCTAACATCCAAAAATGAATCACAGACCCATGGGCAGACAAGAATGACAAGAATGTCATATCATTTCGAGGCTATGTTTCTTCAGAAAATATCATGTGAGTTCTTCCTGTTTGGCAAGGGTTGATGGAAGATCTGAGGGAGATACAGGCCGTTCCACTTGGATTGGAGAGTTGCTTTATCCACTTGCACCCGGAAAATTGCTTCATCGCATTGGAAGAAGTTCATTCACACTCGCACCGTCGCAGCTCACCCCCCAAAAAAGACGCAAAACGGGTCCCGTTGGTCGGAGGCGATCTTGAAGTTTCTGGCCCTGCAGCACCTCCCGGCCATCTTGCCCTTGAAACCCGTCCACGCCTTGGGGGGGGCGCTGCTGCGTGGGTGTTGTGGACGGCAGGGGACGGGACCCAGGCGGTCGCTGCACGACCCGTCGACTTCGATCCGCCGGGTCACAGGGGGTTCACAGCACAGGGTGCGTTGAGATGGGTTTTTCAAGTTCGGAGCTGAATGTTTGGGACGACTTTGGAATAATTCAAGTTTGGCACTGCATCTTTGGGAAGACGTTCTTCAACATTCAGGTCCAAACGCGCATTGTTCCTTCCCAAAAGGTCAGGCCAAACTCGAATTATTCCAAAGTCTTCCTAACCATTCAGGGCCAAACTTGAAATATTCCAAAGCACTCCCAAACATTTGAAGAATTGCGAATTAGAGGAGGGATTGGAGGCCGTTGCTCGTGGTAACTCAAAAGAAGATTGTGCAGTCTATCATGGGAACAAGGTGGACTCGGCCCAAGCCATGAGACCAGATTGAATCTGAGTGCCACAGGCGCATGGATGAGGTAAACCATGAGGTGAACCGAGCCATGTAGCAGGTTGGAGGCCATCCCGAGAGAGAGAGAGAGGGGAACGGTCGCGTGAGTTCGTACCAAGGAAGCGCATTCTTGAAAAGCAACCACTTTCATACGCTGTGGCACGTGACAGTCAGTCTGTCAAACGTCGCAACAGTGAGGCTGTTGCAGTTGCGGTTCACCCTGCTCCACTCATGCTCGAGGACATGCCTGCATGAGCTAAGAAAGGGCTTAAGGGGCAAATGTTTGTGGCTGAAGTGCTGCGATTGGTACAGCTGGGACTCAAAACACCTGCTGGCGACATGAAAGATACGCTTCTCCGGCGAATGGAGGAACTACTCCGACGAGGAATCCCGCGCAATCCCTACCCATAGAGCCACCAAACAGTCAACAACCTCAGTTCATTCATGATGTTTTCTGCACTTCACAATAGAAAGAAGCTTGGCTAGGCTTGATTTTGTGACAATGGCGCCGAAGAAGGCTTCAAAGTGGGAGCTTGAGATGGTGGAGGATCAATGGTCGGAGATCGTGAACGAGTTCAAGGATTTAGTGAGTTACAACAAGTCCTGCAAAGTGCGCAGCCTGTCCATCGAATCATTCGTGAGAGATGAATACCCAGGACTCGAACTGCTTCTGATTCAGCGCTCGAAGTTGAAGGCGACGACGGCGAAGCCGTAGCAGTAGTTTGGAGCAATACGGGCTTCGCGTTTTTTTGCTTTGGCTTTTGCTTTTGTATTATTTGGCAAAACCATTAGAGTTACACTAAGTGGTTAACATACGGTTACTACAATAAAATATGCGGAGTAAAAAATGTCCGAACAGGTATAGAGCGAGGGCACCAGTACAGCGCTGAAGGAGCAAGGCCAGTTGCTGAGCTGCTAGAAGACTTGCCACCCAACCTGGCAGTGGCGAGGGAGCTAGCCCCGCAGTTGCAGCTCCCAGAGTTGCCGGCTGACAAGCCTGAGGAAAATTGGTTCTACCCCGCAGCTGTAGCGCCCCCAGTTCCAGCCAGTCAGTGTAACAACCAGAATTTCATCGCACAAAAGCGTTCCGCGATGGAGTGCTGGCTGGCGCTTGGAGTGGCGCGGAACATCTTTGTATGGTGTCTCAAATGCCTTGGCTGTCGGTGAAGTGCTACCATCTGCAAAAGCGCCAATGGTACTGCCTGTGGGCGAGGTGCCAATGGGGCCAGCCCAGCCACAACCACCACTTGGTCAAGATGCTTTTGCTGGTGGCCACCCCTGGCAGTGCAGCTGAAGCTCTGTCAGAAGCTGAGTGGCGACAAGTGGACCGTAGCCACTTGTCAAGTTGGCAAAAGAGGAAAACACCAGGGCTTCAGCTCACAGAAAACGACGGGCGCCTCAACCGGGCAGCAATGCGACTTGGTGAAGATGGGCAAGGCACCTTCCGGGAACGGGACTGGACCACACAGGCGCCTGGCTTCTGGGCGTCCTCGTTGGTGCGCTTAGCCCAGCAGCGGCGCGGCGCTACCGGCAAGGGGGTTCAATCATCCCCCAGACTGACCTTTTCTTTTTGCCATAGGGTCCAAGCATTCGGATTCAATTTTCAACCATAGCAAATCTACGCAGTCAGTCTCAGGACGTGTGATGTTGCTGCACGCCACAAAAAAGGCATCGCTGGATGATCCCCTGTTGGACAGTTGCGGCGTCCATGGTTGCAACGGATAACTGGTCAAGAGTGCCAAGAGAGCACCGCAGGGCAAGGCGGCATGCTGAAAGTGGATAGGATATGTTGCAGCCAAAAGATGGGGCAAGGGCCAAACGGCGCTGGGAGATGCAGGAGAAATGAAGCCAGTCCCAATCTGTTGTCGCGTTGGCATTTCAAGGGTAAGAGTAGCAGAATAGGAAAGCACGTTGACTTGTAGCTCAACAATCAAGGCAAGGACAAAAACCGCAACCTCCCCAAGACAGAAAACCGAGAAGCCCCACGGTCAAGCAGGTCGCACAGCAGCTCCAAAGCTATGTCCATTGTCACACAGCAGGATAAACAACAGAATCAAAGAGGGTTGGGGGGGAGGGGGGAAAGTTAGACCAGTCAAAAATCCGGGGGCCTTGACCGGCCTTACGGGTGGCCTTTGGCGGGAGGGCCTTACGTGGAGGGTTTTTCATGAGCTTAGTCACTGTGTGTGTGTGGAAGCCTTATAGTTTATCCTTGGGGCTTATGTGGGCAAGTTGGTGAATGGTGATGCAAAGGGCTTGGCTGGGAGGGCCTTACATGGAGGGTTTGGTTTTGGCTAGATGGGGGCCTCAATTTGTTTGCGGGGAGGAGTTTGTGGGGATTGGAGCTTCCGTGGACGCCTTGAGTGCCTTATGCGGAGGCCATGTCTAGGCTTTGGCTTCGGTTTCTTTTTTGGCAGGCGCAAGGTTTGGTGACTGCGTGAAAGCCTGGTGGGGTTATGTGGATGTGGAGGGCCTAGCGGAGGGGGGTGGCTACAAGATGTGGGGGCTTTGGCCTTGTGCTTTGGCAATCCTGCTGCTTCTTTTTGCCTAGTGGGTTCTTTTTTTGCGCTTTCTGGAGGGGCGTGGGGTGGAGGCTTTGGCCTTGGCGCTTTGGTAATCCTGCTGTTTTTTTGTTGTGAACGATGAAGGAACTGCGCATTTTAATACGCTGAGCCGCCGGTCCCCCCCCAAACATATGGACAGAATAGGAAATATACACTACCTCCGGGAGGATTAACTAACCCAGGGCCACCCTCCACATATTTAAATGGCGTAGCGACGACGCACATTGCGCTTTGGTTTAGGTTTTGAGGTTGCTGTTTGTAGTGAGAAGGTGTTGAACGTCCAAACTTTTCGCGCACGTCCAAGTAGTACCTCAACGCTTGCAAAATCGCTGGGCAGCAGGACAGCGGGGAGCTTCAGCTCGTTTTAGACACTGGCAAAGCTCGTTGCGTAGAGGATGAACTGATGAACCAAGAGAATTCAAGTGTCAGACACTCAACAACAAGAGACACGCCAAATGAATGTTTGAATGTTTGACCTCTTCTTGATTCTTCTTGTGTTTCTCTTAGTTCCACCATTTCGGATTAAAACCTCTAAAAGAAGTAACTGTTGGGGCTCTATCTTAGAAAAATAGAGCTGGCCACACTCACTGGCCGCGCCCTGAACTCTGTGGCTGGGCTTTGTGGCCTGGCTGTGTGCCCGGGCCTTGTCCTCCTCTTGTCCTTGTCTGGCTGGGCTCTGTGGCCCGGCTCTGTGTCCGGTCCTTGTCCTCCTCTTGTCCTTGTCTTGGCTGCGCCCTGAACTCTGTGGCTGCGCTCTGTGGCCCAGCTCTGTGTCCGGGCGTGCAGTTCCCAAACAGCTGGAGGCTTTAGAAAAGTATATGTGCATTCGTTTCCGCCAACATGGAATTTTCAGAGTTGACGCCGACGCCGGAAAAAATGTTGACGCTGCTTGGGGTCTATGCTGGTATAAATGGTTGGGTGAAAAAAGTGGTTGTTTGGGTGTGTTTCTTTGAACCGTTGAGCATGTGCAGATATGTGCAGGGTGTACCGAACACTTGATCAGACGGCGATGAGTTGGGTTTCAAATAGTACCAGGGAGTCAGCTGGCTCCACTTCCGCTGTAGTCTCAGACATGCATGTGGGTGTTTTTTGATGTTCCATGACGAGTTGAGAGAGAATAAAGACCCCCATGTAAGAAATTAGTATTTGCATGTCCGTTTTTCTGGACTCAATCCCCTGTAAAACGACATGGAAACAAGAAACGATAACCCCCAATGACTCTTGTGCAAAACCCGTGACAACCTCAGGTGATGCTCATCCCAAGAAAGTGACAGCAGAAAAAGCCCGGACACCATCCGGTCCAGGCACAGGATCCGGACGTCAAGAAGTACTGCGAAGCATTGGCGTGTGATGCCATGAAGATGGTGTGAGTCTTGGAGCGATCAGAGCGATCGGATGCTACGAGCGGAACAAAGAGCATCGCTATACGAACGGAGCGATCGGACGCTACTAGGAACTGGCATCAACTGACAGCGCATTCTCTGGTGGTTTGTCAGGTGATGACTGCAGCGCGGAAGACCATTGTCGCAGCAGACAATGGCACTCTGTGGAAAGAAGCAGTGAATGCTGTGATTGCCTTGGTCTGAAACCCAGATGCGGCGGCCCATCACCGTTCGCTTTGATTCGATCCTCTTGTTGTCACATATGTTTGTGTGCATAGCTTTGCTGACAAGACATGTGAGTTTCACACCGGCTGTCGTTCGACATTAGATGAAACATGATGAAACAGTTTGACAACAGCTTGTTGACATGTTGTCATCAAAAAGACGCCTTGGCATGCCTTCGCTCTTTCTCATCTTGCCATCTCGTCCATATTGGAAAAGGGAAATAGCTTCAGAAAGCTCCAGTCTCAAGTCAAAACAATGAGGGAACTGTGAGTGACCCGAATTTCAGTTCCCAAACGATGCAACATCGGTGAGGTGAACATTCCGAAGCACCGAGTCTTCGCGCCGTCTTCCGGTCTCCAGGTCTCCGACGGCCGCTTCAGCGTGGACTGCCGGGCGCAGCTGGTCTTCGGCATCGGTCAGGTCCTGGCGACGCTGCAGGAGAGCGCCCAAAGAACGAGCGCCGCAGTTCGTCACGCGCAGCCTTTTGCGCAGGTCCGTTGTTTAAAGTAAATGTTTATCAAAGTCAAAAAACTGACTATATAGACCTGTTCTGAAGCGTTGTTTCTTTCTTCTTCGCAGTTGCTTTTTTGGCATATCATTAGTATACTTCTTATATACTCTTTTCTGTTTGGATCTGTCTTACTCTTTTCCCTTGTGGACGTTTCGCACCAAACTTGGAATTGTCCATTGGAAATTCCATTAATGAATTTCTTGGAAACGGCTGCCACGTTGAATGGCGCGAAACTTCGTTGAATGGCCTCGGAATGAAAGCGATTGCAGGGGGGTTGAGGCTTAACAAGCTGGACACTTCAGGATCGTACACTGGGACTGAAGGCTGTTGCTTTCTTCGTCGCAGGACTGGAACGAGTTGGAGCAAGCTCTCAGCATGTTCGTCTCACGTATGGAAGTGTTGGGCGCCTCAATTGGACCAGCAAGATTGACATGAATGATGATCTGCCACGTTAGTGAATGTGTCCTAAGGATAGCATTTTCCAGCCTACCCAACCAATCTATGAAAACAAACCTAACCTAACTAAGTGGATAGTCATACCAACCCAGCCAAACAAGTCACCGGTGATGTTTTTTTCCATCCGACGGTTTGAGTTGCGGCCGTCCATGGGGACCCATCCGACCAGGCCCATTCAGCCGATCCTCAGCACGTTGCCATCGGAGCCGTGACGCGCTGAGCAGCCGAGCCGAGCCCGCAACACGAAGAGCCCAGGGACGACGATCGACACCAGAACGAGAACCCCATCGAGAACGGTGTTTCTTTACCTCTCTTGAATATCGACACAGTCGATGTTTCGCCCAAAGTAGCTGTCGAAATGAAGGAAGAACGACCCTTCCAAATTGAAGCCCAGACTTTGGAAAGCATGGGTCCAAATGGGTTCAATTGGGTGGTTTGGGTCGTTTCTCCAGATGGTTTCGAAACCATCCGGTCACTTCAAGGTTGGGCTCTCGCGCGGTGCGGGGCCTGAGATGCCCCGGGTTGGAGCACACACTGAATTAAGTGGTTCTTACGGTGGTTAAGCAGCTGTGGCGTTCGATCGCTGGGTTTTGCTTCCGTTTTTGATGTTCTTCCTGTTCCTCCCTTGATTCTCAAGCGATTCACCGAAGATCTCCGGGCCTCGCTGCAAAGTTCACATAACATTGAAGAAGCTGAGACGAGTTAGTCACATTGCCAGGTGAAGACCACCCGCGATGGCAAGGCCCCGGTGGAGTTGAAGCTCTACATTGCCTCAGTGAGGAACTGAGAGAGTTTTCTCACAAAGATACCTGTCCTGGGAAGTTCATGACTGGTGTTCATGTCCCAGTTGCTGACTGACTGGCATGATGGATGTGAAAAAATGTGTTCCATGGTGGGAACACCATCCATGCGGACGTGTTTTGCAGGGATCGAAATGGACCTGATTTCGCACTGAACAACTGTCGGGTTCTTGTGCGGTTCGAGGACCGCATTTGTGCGACTGACATCTCCTTTCATCAGTTTAGGTTTCACAGGAGAATTGGCTACATCTTTCAATTCAAGGAGAAACATACAGGAGAAACAGTTTTGCTTTTTAGGCTTCAGCATGAACCATGCATCGCGGAAATAGACATGAATAAGCCATCCTGATGTTTTTGAAAGGACATACAGGGAACGATATCTCCCGGTGCTGTTGCTCTATGTTCATTGCCAGGTGTCCAGCGTGTACAACATGCCTCCGAGGGCAGAGCACCCAGAGACGGCCGCTGTTAACTGTTAAGTGAGATGGTTTCTGGCGGTCTCAAGAAAAGCTTTAGCGCGATACAGCGATGGGTAGTGATAGGATGTTGTTCACATCCATGCTTCAATTGATATACACGATTTAAACAAGATGTGTATCCTGTCGTCTGATTGAGAACCACCTCAGGCCCGGAAAAAAGAACAACAACAACAACAACAACACACGGCGGGGCCGCGGCCCTGTGCTTGCTCGATCCAGGATCCTAGCTTGCTGCCGGCAGATCATCATCCAGTCTTGGGAGTCGTGGAGAAACATTTCGCGACCATTGAGCGAGTCGGGACACCTGGACCGTCGAGGCGGCGAACTGGGAATTCGGAATGTGTGTGGCCTGGGACCAACTGCAGGGTTGAACTTCTATATGCAGACCTAGGTTGGAGGCCATCGCTATTAGGTTCCTTAAATGTGTTTTTTGTCTTAATTCTTAAAGTCTGTTTCATACCTTGACCTCTTTGGGACTGGAAGTTCCACTGTTTTTGCGACTTCCGATGGGCTCGACTTGCGCTGTTCCGTCATCGCAAGTCGCAGATCGAGTGCCGGATTGGTGCTGTGTTTTGCCCAGTTCCAACTATTTGTGTCACGGTGTGTCTGTGCACGAAGCACATGCATAGAACAAAATATATTTGAAGCTCAGCTCTTGTTTTTATCCATTGAACTGTGGTGCTCTTGGTGTTAGGGTTGCCAGATGTTCGGCGCAAGTGCTAGCCGCTAGTCACCTTTTGTTTTTTGTGTGCTTGGCATGTCTTGCTTTCCAATGTGGTGCTTTAAAACTTTGCTTGTTTCATGTGTCTGTGTAATATAAGAATTCAAAATAACATAATATTTTAAAATACAATATTATATATATTATCGCTATATTATACATGTATGCATATGTGCGCCCAGATAGTGGTTGCAGACCTCAAATATCTTGCTTCAAGAGGGACCTTGCAAGGTGTGCATCCATCATACCCACTACGAGGAGCAGTTTTGGTGTTCTGAACGGAGATTCCGCTTTTCAGCAAACCAGGATTTCAACGAACATATGTGTTGGCTTTGTCAGGAGCTGATGGAGCAAGCTTGCCTGGCTTTCAGCCCCTGGGCACGGCTATATGGTCATATCTACGAACAAACGAGTATTTACTAGTAGCTTCTTGCTACTAGTAGCGATGCCCTTGTTACTAGTAGCTTCTTGTTGTTTTATGCATTTTTACTGCTTTACCATGATGTGATGCAAGTGGAGAGCATGGACTGGAGGACTGGACATCGAAACTTCCCCCGCTAAATTAGCCGGCACTGTGTGACAGTGAGCCCAGTGAGCCTTGCCTAGGTTACATCTTGGGATTTTCCAGGGAGCCCTTCACTCAGCAAAGGAGAGAAACCTAAACGATTCTACACTTGTAGTATCAGCCCAATAGGAGAGCTGGTTCAGCAAAGTTTATGACTTTTAAAGAAGGATCAACACATGCTCATGGGAAGCACTTGCCTCCAAAAAATGCTTTCAGACAAACGTAATCAAGCAGAACAGTCACTGGCCTTCTAAAAGACTCCAGTTCTCTTATGTTCTTCTCCTTTCACCATGTTTCTCCTGGGTACGTCGATATTGCACTGTGTGGCACACACATAGGTACGCGCCTACATCAAAAGTCTTCGTGCCCATGATGAAGCTCATGGCAAGATGCCAGTCATCTCAGTCGGACTCGGGCATTTGCACTTGCACGCATTTGTTGGATTCCTTGGGTCTGTGGCTACGATCGGAGCGATTGGACGCTACGATCGGGGCTCCTGGCCTTACTACGAACGGAGCAATGTTCGCGAACCGAACGGAGCATTTCGGGCATCGCGGAGCGAGTCCGGAGCATTTCGGGCATCGCGAACCGATCGGGGGTCTTCTGGGTTCACTCAGGCTGCGAGCAGCACCCGCAGCCTTACTACATGAGCCGCTCGGCGCCGGTCTTCTTCGTTGATCGCTTTGAGCTGGTCGTCTCCACTGAGAGCCACGAGTTCTGGTTAGAACATGTCATCATCGGCCCAAAGGGACCATCTGAAAAAGAAACCAACAGAACTGCCAGAGATTTCATGGGAAATCTTCCAATGAAACCATTCTCAGAACCGCGCCTCGTTCACAACAGGTCTGCGAGCGCAGTGCCTCCATCCGAGCGAGTCGCGAGTCGCAAGGCTTGGTGCGCTCCGCCATCGGCTTCTTCGCGTCCAACGCGGAGAATCAGATGGACGCCGTCCTGGTGGATCTCACAGGTGCGAACGAACGAAGGATTTGTAGAACGGGGCCCAGGTTGGAAAAAGGGAGGGACATCGCACAACCTGAACATGAACTAGAAAAGGGTTGAACTAGAAATCAAAGTTTGACAGGTGTTGGTTTAGATATATTTCGGGCTCATGGATAGAGTTTCGGGAATCGGAGCTGGTCTCAATCGAGCACATCGCACACGAAGGTTTCTCGGCCCTTTCGGTCAGATGGTTCGATTGGTCTCAACCGCGGTTGGATCAGGTTTCGGGCTGTACCCTGCACAAAGCAGTCAGTGCAAAAGCATGTTTTGGTTGAATACAATGAGGATTTGGTGCAAGCTGAGCGTTTAGATCACAAGAACCGCCCATACAGCCAGGTCTTACAGAGTCTTACGTAACAAGAAACACACTGGTGTCCAAAGAAACAACTGTTGTGCTCTTTGCAAGTTGAGCGCCCAGGACTCTTCATTGCTCCAGTGGCCAGGGCCCTTTCCGCGGCCACCAGTGTCCATGCGGCGGCCAATGCCATTGCGTGCGAAGCACAGGAGACCTGAGACCCAGGACGTGTGGCTCGAGCTTTGAAATAGGAAGATGAGGAAAGAAAGAGTATTGAAGTCCGGAAGAGGCAGGAACAAATCGTGTTAAAGCTTTGAAACATGAGATGTTTTGGGCCAAGGCCTCCCATCAGTGGAGCAGCCTATGAGATGATGGCCGAAGCTGTAAGGATCGACCATTGCTAGGTCCATGATAGCAAATCCATGTGCTTGTTTGTCCAGAAGCCACGCAAGTGCGTCAACCTCGCTGCATGGTCAAGGATATTGTGTGTGTGCTTTTCTGGTTTCTCAAATTGTCATTTGCAAATAGATAGGTGCGGAGTTGTTTGGTAGAAGAGCTTGGAACTTTCGCAAACATGTTGCAGCTTGTTTGCAGCTACCATCCGCCACTCCAGGCACTGGAATCTCTCACTCCTAGCGATCAATTCGACTCAATGGATGCCCGAAGTGCTGGACTGCACCATCGAGGCAGCCAGACGCGGGTGGACGACGCGGACACGTTGGATCAGTTGGATCCGTCTGTCAACGATCGAACGACCTGTCAACGATGTGCAGCGAAGTCCGTTTTGCGCGAGCAGACCAGTCGTCTATCCGCGGCATGTTTCGCAGAAGGTGCTGCCGCGCCTCACGGAAGAGGGGCAAGCGATGTACGAGAGGAGCTCCACCACGAGCGTATCAAGCAGCTTTCCAATCGATGTTGCATGCCAAGAGTTTGCCTTGATTTTTCTGAGCAGCACTCGCTTGTGCCACGTCGAATGCCCACGGCCCGTGGGAAAAAGCCACCAGAAAACTCCACGGTCCGCGTGGAACGCGCAGGACCATCACAGCCATGCTGCGGCCGTGCACTCAGGAACGTCCAAAACTGGCTTAGCGGCGTTGCAAGTCACATTGAGGCACCGCAGTCGAAACGACCTCTGAATGCCTCGAAAGAAAGTCACATTCGTGCTGGATGCAAGATGCCTTTATTTGTGCTGCTTTATTGCCTGAAAAACTCTAGATGAACCTGGCAGCTTGCTGCAAGGTGCATATATACCTGTCCAGATGTATTTGACACAGGGACCTCTCTTTGCAAAAACAAGCCTGTCTAGGTCTGTCCAGGTCTGTCCAGGCTTTGGAACCAGCAAACCTGAGCCCACCGGGCAGCCCACCCTTTGCCGGGTGGGTATGTAATACATCCTTCAAGAAAGCCCTCAGGTGGACGGAGCTTCCTGTAAGAACCCTGGTCCTTCTGTGTCAGTTAATATCTTGCAAGTACTTAAGCGTACTAAACAACTGCCACCTTAAGAATGCTGAATGATATGCAATGCCTCTCCTTTTTCCCATCTTTCATTCCTTTCATCCGGAATCCCTTTAAACACCTTTGACCATAACCTGTTTGTTCAGTCCATCCTTCACCACCCTTTTTTTGGACGAACATGGCTCCAAAGCCTCAGCTGGCTCAGCTGGCTCCCAGGTTTCTTCGCAATGTGCTGCTTTGGGGCGATCCCGAGACATCGAAAGGGGACATGGCTCCAGAGCTTTTGGAACTCCAAAAGCAAGCACAGGCAGCAGCGGGAACGTCGTTCGTCGTCACGGTGAACACGAAAAAAAATAAGGTCGAGTAGGCCAGATAGCTTGGGCTATCCAGTGTTTTTGGCTGTCTTGATGTGTGGTGGTTGTTTCTTGATATGTGCCCTTTTTTGTTCTTTAAGCGTTGGTATTTTTCTTTTCCCAGTTTGTTTGTTTTTTTTGGTATTGATAATTGTGTTGTCTTCCTGGCATGTTTTTCTTTCAAGCATGTTCACACTTTTAGACCGTCTTTCTTTTTGCCATACCAGATTGTTGAGCTGTTGCTCCAATCACCATCAGAAGCGTGGATTTGGTAAAATTCGACCAAAGACCAAACCACCTTGCACGTTCCATCAGGGAATCATGGTGGAACGGCCCTTGCCAAGAGGCACAGCCTTGTTGGGGAGCTCGGAGGCATTGAATTTCTGAAGAAGAAAAGATTAAAAGCACCAGGTACTAGGAAAGGGTGTCTTTAATATAATTCTTTTCTGGGGGGACCTTTATTAAGGCCAGGCCCTCTTACACAGGCGGTCCCCGAGCTCACTGGAGAGCGACACTGTCGCCGTTCAAAGAGTACTAAACCTGAAAAAGTACTTGAAGAAAAAGCCCCCAATAGCGATGCCAACCATCCTAGTGGCGATGGCCTCCATCCTGCTGCGATGGCCTCCAACCATCCATGAAAAAAAAGAAACGCCATGGAGATTTCTCACCGACATGCGAGAAACGGGCATGCTTGAAAAAGGTCAGTGTGTGTGTGTGTACTTTAGGCTAGCTGGGGGTTGAGGGTAGGCTGTAGGGTGGGCTTAAGTAAGCCAACAAGAAAAGGGGCAGCTGCTAAGGCTTCCTTAAAGAAGCCCAAACCTTAATGAATCGGGTTCCTAGATGTTTTTGTTCGGGAAGTCCGAATGTTCTTTTACCTTCGTTTGAAGGCTACACGTTGACAGGCCTTGTGGATTCCAAGGCCTTGAGAGTGAGATCAAAAACCAAATCCAATCCGCCTCAGACACCTCAATCCTTTAAGCTTCAGCACCAACCTGACCCGGAAACATGCATCCACCTGAGGCCTCGCCTTATCCATAGCCTTTCCATGCTTCTGGTGGTGTCTGCAGGGCACCCTTGGAATCGACGAAGTCTGGCTTGATGATTTAGGAGTCCGGCCAAGTCCTCCTGTGACGGAAACATTCGGCAGCAAGTCCTCCTGGGACATACGCCGATATGCAGGTGTCAAGCCATGCCAAACCAATCCCTATTCTCGTAGGCAGCAAGAGTTCGTTGCAAAACGCTTTAATTACTGCACGACTTGTCATGCCAAACTCCATTTGTGACCGGGCAGCAGAACCTTTTACGAACATCAATGAGCGTATGCTCCGAATGCTCTCCGTTTGGAGAGATGCTCCATCTCCCACCCAGGCTCCGAACAATCCCAGCCGCGGAGAGGTCGTTTGGGAGGGGAAGGGCTGCGAACGAAACGGCTGGAAGCTGCTGACCTTCGTTGGTTCTTTCGTTCTTTTCTGTAGCAACCCTTTTCTATCACAGCTTAAGGGTGGCACATGAGTAGGTTGGAGGCTATTTCGCTCTTGAGAGAGTGACCATGAGTGACCAACATGGCAGGTTGTGCCAACGGTGGCGGAGGCGGGAAAGCTGCACCAAATCAGTTGCAGCATTTGCGTTCGATACCACACACCGATATGCGACGATGACGCTGATGTCAACTTCAGTCTTTGTGGGAATGAGATCAAAGAGGTCAAAGAAGCAATTCAGTTTTGTGACTAGGTGGCATCTAGTGACACTTGATCCGTATGGCCATGTGCAGATCTTGAGATCCGAAGATCCGCCCTCGAGGTGTATCGGACTTTGTTGGTCGGTCCGCAGAACACTCAGACGGACATGACTGGCGCCAACACAATGCGTGGTATTCAATGATCATGTGTGATGCAAGTGGGTTTGGAAGGACAAAATCAAAGAAAAAACACATTTTGCCGCTTGGATGTCAAGGTTTGAGTACGTTGCGTCTCAGCAGATCCCAGCGAGCCTGAAGTCCTTGTCGGAGACCAAGATTGGCACATGCTGAGATCAGCTCCACAACAGGTCTGCATGACTCAAGTGGAGAGATACACTTGTTGCCAAGATAGGGATATGATATGTCAGAGGAAGAAAGAAGGACAAGAGAAAGCTCTGAAAGGTCTAAGCAAAGAACAATGAAGCAAGGAAGGGGAGAGAGAGAGAGAAAGAAAGAAAGACAGACAGACAGACAGAAAGAAAGAAAGAGGAAAACACAGAACGGAAAGAAGAACCTGTTCTAACTCATTAAAACCTGTTCGTATTGCGTCAGATGTGGTGAGTCTTCGTGCAAGGCCACCGCCATGTTCGCTGGCACTCGTTGGTGAGTCGGAGGGCCAAAAGCTTCAGCCAAGTAAGAAGGATGTGCTGTTTTAAATGTGTTGCCCGCTCCTACTTAATCAATTAAGTAAGGGAGAAGTAAGCTACTAGCTACCTAAGCTTCTAGGTAGGACGCAGGATAGCACTTGCACTAATGATTTGGTTCTTAGAATTTTAGGGGAAACTTTCCTGACTTGTCAGTCAAGCTTGTCTCGAAGTGAAGGATCTCCCCCTAAATGTCGTATCTATGTTCCCGAGATCTCTTCCTGTTATCGTTTCTTCACCAATACTTCATAAACCTCACCGGAAGAAACCTTTGCTCCGCTTTCTCTGAGTCAGAGAAGGTGATGACTCTGGGCATCTCTGAGTCGGAGAAGGCCTAGTACTGACTTCTGTTCTCCTCTCGAAATTCTGCACAGGCATGAGCCACAGAAAGTGTTGCAGCAGCTGAAGATGGAGAAAGGCCTGCCAAGTAGATTGCTTTCCTAAAGCAAATGATGTTTCGAATACCACTTGACATGTATGTTGTTTGTTGTCGCCATACAAAGGGATGTCGTTTCTCCACATCGACATCTTTCGAGGTGATTCCCGGCGCTTCACCAAGACCATCATCGGTGTGGCCGAGCTGTTCGCTGTTGCGTTGAAGAGAGCGCCCGTCGGAACTTGAAGAGAGCGTTGATCATCGTCCAAAAAGCGCGAGCGTTCACAGGTTCCGTGAGAAGAAAAGTCTTTATGCATGCCTGCAATCGCTACTAGGAGCGGGCTCCTGGCCTCTGGGTTTTTAAATCCAACCCCGGACCCCGGCAGCGGTTTTCTGAAGCGAAAAGAGTACACATCCCGTCGAATTCTTCGTTCCATGGAATACGCAGCGAGCTGTGAAGGAGAACAATCTCATGTCCAGCTGCAAGTCAGCAGTTCACCTTTCCAAACATGTTCCAACTACCACTCTTCAGGTGGAGACGATCTTTTGGGGTTTGAACATGTCCTGATGGGACTTAGATCAGCTTCCTTGAGGACGTGCCACACATCTCGCATGATTGCGAACGAAATATTTGGACTTTGGACATGCGCCCTTCCACTCCAGCCAGGAGATGGTGCCAGACAGTGATCGAGGGATCTCATTCCACACCATGTACTTATGATGCTCTCACTGAGAAAAACGATGGATGTAGTGTGGAACCAAATTCTTACAACTCAGGCTTCGATGCTCAGCGTTCTTGCCCAGAATCGGCGACTTGGGGACTTGGCAATCCGAAGACCCTGCTGAACCCCGATGGCGCAGAGCCTTTTCAGGCTCCAGAAAAAGCAAAAAAGACGCGCGACCACGGACCGCGTGGCAACCGGCCCCCGCGTCGGGTTTGATGGAGCCGGGTGAGTGGGAGAGCCCAGCTCACGTGTTCTTTTTGTTGTGCCGTGGCACTTCATCCGAGCTTCACATTGGTTCATCAAGCTTTATCTAAGGGGTGTCCCAGTGCACCAGTAGCAATCGGCAAAAGATTATCATGTTTGAGAAAGGCCATTACCAACCGAATCATCATCATCATCATCATCATCATCATCATCATCATCATCATCTTCATCATCATCATCATCATCGTCGTCGTCCAGTATTACTGCACGATAATGGGATAGTATCGGATATACCGAACGTTTATTGCATGTTATCACTTGTTGTGCATCCACTGACATGTCTAATCGCAGTTATGGGCAGATCGCAAAAGTAGAGCTCGATCACTTGGCCCTGTAGCCTGTCAATTTTGCTTTGGTGTCACTTCGATGAAGGGGGCTAGTCTGCTTTGGGTTCCGAACATGGGTCGACTTCGATTCCCATCTTCGATCCCCCGCTTTTGAACCCCCAAACCACTGGGTTGAGGAAAATGGCCTTCCACCGGTCAATTCTGAGGGTCTAATCCCTGTTCTTCCGATCGAAGAACACTGCGGTGCCACCGGAACGGCGCGTGTGCAACGCGTGACGCCGGAACGGCGCGAGGTACGATGCCCTCGTGGCCCAAGCACAAACCGGTGGCTCTGCGGAGACTCGGAGCTGAAAAGCCCACTCTGGGCCTACACACCGGGTGTCCCCTCCCGTTGTTGGAAGCTTCAATTGCTCAGAGGCTCTCATAGGGTGCCCAGATGCCAAAAGCGGCATTTGTGGGGACTCTCTAGGGTGGCTACGGACTAAGCGTGTACTCTCGATCCGCTGGAGATCCAAGTCCGCGACGGACGCAGGATAGCTCACACTTCTGTTGATTTAGTTCCTGTCGATTCAGTTCTAAACACTCGAAAAGGCGACCTAGGAGTGTGAGGTAGTGTGTTGAACAAGGGTTGAGGGTACAAAGCAAGGCACTATTTGGATTCGGTGTCGTCGTGCAAGCGGATGTCGTCGTGTGGCGATATGGCTCGTGAGGCTGGGACTCCGGATGATTTTGGGGCGCCAGAAATCAGCTTTCCCAGCCTTAGCTACTAGGAGCCCCTAGTAGCTTCTTGCTCCTAGTAGTAAGGCCAGGAGCCCTAGTAGCGTTCTTGCTCCTAGCAGCGATGCCCTTTGCTCCTAGTTGCCATTGCAAAGCTCGTGTTGATGTCCGCTTCCGAGGCAGTTGAGCTGCTGCAATTCATGCGGAGCCTTGGAAGATGATTCCGAAGCAACAAAAACCCGACCCAGCGACGGTGTGAACATGTGTGAACCCAACTAGGGTTTCCTGAAGTGCTGATGAGGATGCAAAGACTTCCATTCCAGTCAAAGCAAACATTGCTAGTTGCCTGTGTGTATCAACAGATCTCCTTCCACGGTGAACTTCGGGAACTGGTCGTGAGGAGGTCATGTCGGTGATCGCGGCACTCGGAAGAGAGAGAGAGAGAGAGAGCAAATCCTCCACCCAAAAGACCCTTTTTTTTCAAGAATCTCCAATCCTCTGTCTTCCAGTGGCAAAACCCCAGTTTTAGTGTAAAGGTAACATGATTGATTGTGACAATAAGATATAATGAGAATTCCGATAGTAACCACTAGAACCATCATCTGATTGTTTTTGCCATGACATGGTGTTGTGCCTCCTTTGTCGCGCATGATCGGGCAAGGACGCACAAGATCCACCAGCCTGAGCTGGTGCTGCAGCACGGTGCGGAGCCAACCCGCGGAGGGACAGAGGGATAGGAGGGATAGGCCCTCCCAGGAAAAAACCGTTCAAAAGAACAAAGGGAAAACATCGTGATAGTTTTTTTACATGTCTTGGGAATCATCATGACCTTTAGAATGTGTTTCAGTGATAAAGAATCCAGCCAGAGAACTAAATGCCGTGGAAATCCTGGTGAGTCCCGTGATTTGGTGCACGGATGGGGTGGATCGCGATTGGAGTCGGGGTGCACCAAGGATCTTCTGAACGAAAATCAAAACGAAAGACGCGGTCCAAACAAGCGGCACGGAGTTGTTCTGTACATTTTTTTTGTGAAATGACCATGACGAATGAAATGAATGGCAGTGGTTCTTACGCAATTTGCTTGTTTGATGTCACCACATAGACTCCTAGCGTCAGGCCAGATTGGCAGAACTGTTGGGTTTCAAACCTGTTGGAGCGTGGGTTACCCGCAGGGAGACCAATGTGTTCCCTCGGCTCGATTCTTCGCAGCACGATCCGCTCCTTTCGTCGAAGAAACGGCGATCCGCAGATCTCCGCAGATCTCCGCAGGTTCCAAGTTGCTGCGAAACCAATGGCTCGGCAATGAACTCTTCGTGGCCGGGGGGGCCGGAATACGGAGGACATGTTAAAGTGAGTTTCGACTTGGTTTCCGTCCAGTTTTGGAAGGCTCTTTGTTTGACCACAGAATCAAGCTGTTCAAATCAATTCGTCGACTACACTTTCTGCCGGAGGAGAAAGCAGTTCCACGATTCGGCTCCTGCATCCTTCACCACACTTGTAACACCAGGATTAGTAAGATGGATGGAAGTCTAAGTCTAAGTCTGGTCGCAGGGGAAGAACTGAAGTCGAAAACGGGACGAATGGACGCCGAATGGCCGTCTAGCAGTCGCCAGGTCATGGAGCAAGTCTTCTTGGCTGCCGCAGAGTTGGGCTGTGACGACTGGCGGGACTGGGTTTTGGAATGTCGCGATCGCGCACGCGCGTGCATGCGTGTGGGTTGCCATTCTAGTTTTAAGGACAAGTATGCTGTTTGTGAGGTTCAATCAGTTGTGAATGTTTGTAATTACAGGGGTAGGCGATAAATCAGATATGGATATATAGATGTTCAGTGCTTGAAAATTATGTTATGCCCCATGCCACCAATGCATAACGCACTGGGATTGTCGCTTTGGGCGTATGAGGTGAAAACGGCATAAGTCACTTGGCATGCGTGATTGCAATGGACAAGCACAATTGCAGCTTGTAGCCACTCTGTAAACGAAGAAAGTTAATCAAGAAGAACATGTTTGCAGATAGGTGGGAAAAGAGGTAGATGACAGACAAGGGGGCTCGATCTACAGAATTTGTTTGGTTTTTGCTCATGCTTTTGACCAAAGTCCAATCTTGCGTACTGCAGAGGACTATTGCCTCAAGGAGCTGACGAGGAATTTCCCTTCCTCCCTTCGAGTAGAGCGCTTGAAAGGCGCGACCTGACACAGCTGACGCTGTGCGCCTGTTTGACCACACCACCTGACATGTCGAGTTTCCAGTTGGAGGGTTTGGGCTGTTCTTCTGTCCAGATCTGTCTCTTGAAGGATGCAGAATCCCAAGTGTAACAACTCTTCCAATGAAGCTGGTCAGGTAAAGGAGTATAGCATTGTCCATCATATCTCGGTGCTGTTGCACCACCACCTTCCTTAATGGGCTTAAATAGGGAATGCGTTGCGACCGTTGGCGTGTCGTTGGGTGGACCTCTGGATCGATCCGCCTTTCCGGTCCGACTCCCGATCTCGCCGGGCATCGATCGATCGCTCGAGCATCGGAGAGAGTGGTGCTTTCGCTGTCGCCTGAGTTTGGGGCACCACGACTTCCCAAACACACGCACTCCTTCCGCCTCGGAAGGCATCGAGAAGGAATGCCAAGGAGAATGGAAGGAGGCGGTCAGACGCGACCGTCGATCAGACCGGGAAAGCGTTGGAAACACCATGGTCGACGGCCAGCGGTCGAAATGTGATTGTGTTGACCTTTTGAAGCGAAGTAATAGATTGCTCGACCGAGACTCTGTCGTCGAAGGACTTCCAATGTGTCACTAGAAAACGAGATGAAACCACCTTCCGACTTCCAATTGTTTCCTTGGCTACTTAGAACAAGGAATGGATCTCTCACAAGCACATGAAACTTTCCCGACAACCCCTAGTAGCTGATGTATGCTGATGTGCTGATGTGTCTGGGGGGCGAGGCCGATCGGGTGATCTTGTTGTGAGGCCGAGAAGATCTATCAAAAGATCCTCTCGACCAAACCAGAGGACTGGCATCCGTCACTGACGCATCACGCGGGCCAATAAATGGGTATGTTGCTGTTCGCTGGGGCTTAGTAGCCCATCAATTTAAATCATGTTCCGGTCGGATTCCAGTTCAAAGCGGTACCCTGCAAGGGTCTACTTGTAAAGATGTACACAGAAGACTTTCACATGACAGCCCAGCACCGTTACACTCCACCTACAAAAGGGCTTTCTTTGCGCCTTACACTCCGCCTTCTCAGCACCGGAGGCTTCGTTCGAGGCTCTTCGTTCGAGGTTCCGCTGCTTCAAAACACGGCTGTCACGGCCGCCTTTGTTCCTCGTAGCGTGCTACTAGTCAGGAAAGGGGCTATTGGTAGCGTTCTTGCTCCTAGTAGCGAGGACACCCTGGCTCACAAGCGCCTCATCGCGATGCAGCTTGGACCAATATGGCACTGCATGCGGTGGGACACCGCGGTGTCCTTCATGTCAAAAGAACGGAATTCAGATGTTGTTTGAGCTCCTGTAATGATGGTCCATTTAGCAGGCCCTGATGAACGTGGCCCTTACGTTGTTTTGTCCTGCTCTTTTGACTCTTCCTTGTCCTTTGCACCCTTGGCTACACGCTCCACGTGTAGCAATCCTGGCAATAATGTGCCTTAGTTATTTTGTAGGAATCTAGCCAGAAAGCAGGTTTTCTGCTGCTCTCACGGTGGCAGTTATTCTGCTGCTTTTTGGCTAATTCCGTGAACTTTTGCAGGGCACGCCTGGTTGATCAGGGCAAGTCAAATCCCTTGGCTTCTGGGTTGGCCTGGGCTCCTGTGAGTGCACCATGCGCTCGAGAGCACCCAGGTCACCAGTTCGCCCCGCAGACCAAGGGGCGCCCTCGAATAGACCGTGGCGCGGTGCCGGCCGTGCGTCGCAAGGTATAAGCAGCAGAGCGGCAAAGTGCCAGAGGTGAGGGCGGGAGGTGAGAACAAGCTTTTGGTGTGAAAAGAGGAGGTTTTAGCAAAAAGTAAGACCAGTGTTTCGATCTTACAGCTTTCTGCGTGTCTTTTGAAGTGGGTGACCTAAGTTTGCTCTTGGGCCTTCACGCTGAGAAAGGAAGGTGAAGCGGGGCAGCCAGGTGTAGGACGCAACCTTCCAAGGGGCTGACCAGGACAGGCAACCGGGTAGACCTCCAACCTAATAGCTAGCCATGGCCTCCAACCTAACAAGCTAGCAATGGCATGAAAGCCCCCCTGGAAATCGGATAGAGTCCTTGCTACTGGTAGCTTCTTGTTCCTAGTAGTAGGGCCAGGAGCCCCTAGTAGCGTCCTTGCTCCTAGTAGCTATGCCCTTTGCTCCTAGTATCCTTCCCTTGTTACGAGAAAACATCGCCAGGCCATCGAGTCGATCAACAAATACCTGGAGACCTTCAGCACCGACTCCGAGGCAGGGAGGGAGGCCCAGGCGGTTCCAACCGCATCCAGCGGCCTTGGTTGGCCCGCATAGGATCTGACAAATCGGACGTCTTTGCTGGTGTTTTTGCTTGGAAGAGAGAGGCTTTCGCCAACGAATGCCACCATCCGACTGAAATGTTTGGATCCAAAGCGACGATTGCCTTCACGATGTTGTTGGAGCACATCCTTCTCCCTGCTCCTCATCCTTCTCACGTACCTGGCAGGTCTGGCATGAACTCGGCGAATTGTACATTGAGGCTAGGGGCTCCTGGCATCGCTAGTAACAAGAACGCTCTTAGTAGCTCCTGGCCTTACTACTAGGAGCGATCGGACGCTACGAACGGAGCAAGGACACTACGAACGGGCATCGCTACGAACGGAGCAAGTGCCCGATGTCAACCTGTCGGACCTGTTGGTGTTCACTTCCGTGCTCGGAGACCCACGGTCCTCATGTTCCGCTTGTCTTGATACCTTGGAAAACCACCCTGCGGTTCGACCATCGCCGTTGTAGCCACGTGAAACCCGGAAACACGTCAAACGCCTCTCGAGGTTGGGCATTTACAGCGAGCAGCTTTTTGCTTCGAAGAGCTCATCGTGCACAATCCTCGCTCGATGCAGCTTGGTTTCCTTTGGATTGTGTTGTGACATGTTTTGACCGAAACGCGCATTGCGTGGTTGCAGTCCAAGTGGAGAAAACAGCAGCTGGATCCCAGGATGTTGAGTCGTTCTTCACGTTTATTAGGGGATTTCAAGTGGCTTGAACAAGATCCATGGTGAAACATGTGTGGTTCTGCTGCCGACATCGCGCCCCGCACCGCGCCGCAACCGCGACGAGCCACTGATTGAGGTATACCATCCTGACCTATGCAGAGCTTCTGTACTCCACCGGCGACTTTGAAGCCAGCCGGAAGTGGCTCGGCAGTTGGGGATCGTCATGGGTCGCTTTCAGAGGCTGATTCGATTGGTATTGGAGACAGGTGATCTTTTGAGACCAAAGAAACCCTTGTCATTTCTGCTTCCTCCATCCAGCGTTTGCATGACAGGAGTTCTTTACCTGATGTAGACAATTTTAACAATCTATTCTCTAAACACTGGACCGACCGTTGGTGTTTGTTGGACCTGCCGCACTGCCTTTGTTTCTGGTGTTCCTTGCCTTCAAAGCCGAGATACTTTAGCATGGCCTCCTACCTGGATGAGACCAATCTTCGGGCCTTGTGGGGCTTGGCCACGTGCAACATGGTGCGCGTCACGTTCAACGTGCTCGTCGGGTGTTTTTCGGGGGGCAGGTCACGGGAATGAAGTGAGAACTTGTTGCGCTCGCAAGCATGGGAAGCTTGGATGGCTCTTGGGCGGGTACCCGGGGTCATAGGGTGCTGAAGCGAAGACGGAGTCCGGTCTCTTCCGAGTGACCATTGCTGCTTGCAGGCCTTAGCAGAGAAGGACAAAGCCCGAGAAAAGTCTCTTGGTCCAAGCGATGAACATGGCCGGGAAACGGAACTCAATGTCTTTCAAGTTGACCGAGCGATTTGGACTGTATATACTGTATATATGTTTGAACCACTGTTTTAAAGAGAGTATGGTTGATTGAACATGATCTGTGTGAGCTTGTGACCCTCATGCCGGTGTATGCGCGTCAGGCAAACAGGCAAAAGTTGATCTCAGGTCGTGGGGAGTAGGGCTGACCTGCCCTGCCATGTGAAAAATAACGACTACTCATGTGGCGCGCCATTCATCATCCGCAACTTCAACCAAGCCAAAACATCACCTGGTTGTCTCGACCGCTTGCTCCAACTCTCATTGATCAATTGTGCGAACACCTGCCACCTGATGCCATATGACACGGAGCACTTTTGCTGCCCCGATCGTAGCGTCCGATCGCTCCGTTCGTAGCGATGCCCTTTGTTACGTTCGTAGCGTCCCCTTGCTCCTAGTACTAAAGCCAGGAGCCCCGAACGTAGCGTCCTTGCTGAAGCCGGCCCTGAGGACGAAGCAATTCCAAGAACTTCAGAAATTCACCGTCCAGCGGCTGCGCAGCGCGTGCGCCATGCTGGTATCATGCCGCCGGTATTTTGCTGTGGGTGTGCCATTCATTAGTTCTTTGAGTGTGCACCTGTGTAGAGAGTGAGATGTGGCGGTCAGATGGGGTGATTGAAAATACAGGCGGTCAGACCTTTGAAAGACCTGTCGACGGGCTTCCCCAAATTGGATGACATGTCGAGATCCTCCAGGACACATGAGCCTGGGCAACGCTGCCGTTTGGAGGTACAATCGCCAGGGCAACGCTGCCGGCTCCCACCTTAGTTGGTTTTCACTCCGCCGACGTCTGGACTTCAGTGACCCGAGGGAAAGCGGCGCTGAAGTTGCTGTCCACCATGACCTGGTGAGCGACCCGCGCGGAGATCACGGCCCACAGTTATTCTTTCAAACCAATTCAGGTGCACTTCAAAGTCATAGGCCATAGCTGTTACTGCCTTACTTTCATTCAGGTTAGTGTAGGGCTGGCAGCTAGGGCAACATGAACACATACAATCAAAAGCAATACCTTTAGGGTGCTTGCTCAAAGTCGAAAAGGTTTCCATCGGAACACGAAGGGTACCAGAAGACCCAGGTGCCGAACCACCAGTCGCGTGCGAGCGCGCTAAGAGTAGAGCTGCGCCCGTGCATGTGGAAAAGCACCAGCTGAGCGGCGCCCGTGTGCAGCCGCTGAGCGGGGCGAGTAGTGTTGCAGATGGTCCCCTGTGATGGTCCAGGCAACGTTTATGAGTTTGGATAGTGTCCGTTCTTTAGATGTTGGACCTAGTTTGGAATGTTTCTTTTCCGGGGGGGGTCCTTTTTTTTGCGGGTTTCTTTTGGTTGAAGTGCATGCTTGATCCCACTCACATCTCTTGCCGGTGGGTATGTCCACGTGAATGTACGTCCTCAGCGAGTGTCAGTGTTTGTTGGGCTGGTTCATCTCTCGTCCTGCGCAGGTGATGATTAGGAGCTTGACAGCACAGTGTTTGTGAGATCTTCACGTCTACGGTTCTTCGCGTCTTTCGAAAAAGATCGTGGGATGCTTGGTTCGAATTCATGCATTCCGCAGCCCGGGTCAGAGGTCAGCTGACAACCCGTCACAACTCTTCCAAAGACTGAACGCAGGAAGGACCATGTGATCAATTCAGAGGATCCAAGCCACCTCATACTGTGTGCCATCCTGAAATTCGGAACAGAGGAAAGAAAGGAAGGAAGGGACAATCAAAAGGTTGCAATAAAAAATCAAAAGGAACAAAAAGAAAGCACCATGCCATGGGGTTTGGAGCACCGTCAGTCTTGGTCTCCCTTGGCTCAAGAATCCCCAAGCAGGTGCCTAAAAACTTGGTCCAGATTTTACACCCAAACGGACCCATTTGTGCCGATGATCTAGTGCCACGAATCCCCAAAAAGGAGCTGCCACGGCTCTCCATGCATCGCTGCTCATGGCTGCGGCCGTTCGAAGCCGCGCCAGCCGGACGCCCTTCTCGGTGGAACAGGTGCGGTGTCAGACGGGTCGAAAGCAGAAGGAAGACCAAAACATGGCCGGGCTGCAACGAGTTCATGGAAGAAACATGGGTGATGGTCTACGTCTTTCTCCTTTGCCTTTTGGGCGGAAAAGGAGGCTTCATGGGAACATGGGATGGACGTTGGTCAGCGTGCGATCGCTCGGACGCCTCAAGGAGCCATATGATGACGTCCGGCTCCAAGTGATTCCAAGTGGCCTTCGTTCCGCCGTAGTTTGTGACAGAAAGTCGTGAAGGGGGTTGAGCTAAGTGACGTGGGCTCTGCAATGATCAAATAATTCATGTGCATGTGTGTGTGTGCCCTTGACTGATTGTCACATGAAGATGCAACAATCAGGTAAAGTTGTGTATAATGTTTTATGTTACTCGCAAAGATTGATGTAGCTTCCTAGCTTCCAAATGAATCCCTACTCTGGAAAGCACTTTCGGGGCAGAGGCAAATGTGATCTTCACAAGTGTCGTGTTCATGAAGTCTCCTCATTTGGTTTATTCAAGTGACCGTGATCCACATGAAAGAACCGACAAAAGCCACACGGACGGGTGTTCCAAACCACACAGGACGGAGATTCTCGTCTCCAAATGTTTCGCTTCGTAGGATTTCGATGTCCAACATGATTGAAGCATGAAACCATATGGAACCAATGAATGCTCAGCTCCCAAGCTAATTTGACTGGTTTGGTTTGTCTTGGAGGCTTTCTTTGGCAAAGCCACTGCAGTCTCTGGTGTCCTTTGGTTGTTGGGGAAGGAATGAGCAGAGACTGCTCAGTCGTCCAGCCTTGAGCGGAGACAGGAAGCGACATCAAAAAAAATCAATGAAAACCAAGTGGTGTACTCGTTCCGTTCGTAGCTTCTTGTTCCTAGCAGTAAGGCCAGGAGCGCCCCTAGTAGCGTCCTTGCTACTAGTAGCGATGCCCTTTGCTCCTAGTAGCTTCTCGTTACTAGTAGGGACTCGTTCCATCACTGATCTAAAACATTTTGGAAGCACCATTTACCATGCGCCCAATCCCTCGCTTGACGGGCCTGCCCAAGTTGCCCTTCTCACGAGAAAGCGAGGCTCAGGGCTTTCTGGACTTCACGCACCAGGGCCGTCATGGCCATCGCATCCCATGGAAGCACCTGGGAACAAGAGGACGCTACTAGGGGCTCCTGGCCTTGCTACTAGGAACAATGTTTGCTATTAAAAACAAAAAATAGTTAGTATTAAGTGCTATTATATTAGAATTAATATTAATAATAAACACAAGAAGCTACTAGGACCTTCTCGCGCGTGAGCGCGCGCGCCCGCGGGGGGGGGGTAGGGGCAAGGACGCTACTAGGAACAAAGGGCATCGCTACTAGGAGCAAAAGGATGCTACTAGTAGCTCCTGGCCTTACTACTAGGAACAAGAACGTTTTTAGTAGGTCTTTGAAACTACTAGTAACAAGAAGTTTTTTAGTAGGTCTTTGAAGCTTCTTAGCAAATAGCCAGAGGGACGCAAGTCGTGAAGCCGGAGGGACACCTCGTTGTCGATGGCACCCCCCGACGGTCGTCGTTTTGGGGCACGGTCGTCTTTCTTCTTTCACAACGGGGAGTGGTCGTCTTTTGTTAGTCAATACTTTCAGTGGGGATAGTATCGGATAGTTGTAGGCACCGGTTGGAACTGGGAGGACAATGATAAAAGCACTGTGAACTGCAAGTGGTTTGGGTGAAAGTACCCAAGAAACATACGAGGTCCAGTCAGAGGAAGTAATCATGAAACCAGGGTTCTTGATTGCTTAATTGTTGACATCTAAGTACTGCAAGGGCTTCTGTCCCAGACTTGGCACTATACTTCTCCTCAACTAGCCTTCCGCACAAGCTGCACGGTTCGTGAGCAAGGCAGTATGGAGCCCTGGCTGTGTGGTTTGTCCTGCTGCTGATCCAGTACTGTGTGGTTCGAGTTGTGTGCCAGCCGCTGGGAGTTTGAAGGATGAAAACAAAAGATATCCGTTGATTTGTGGATTTTCGGATTCTTCTCCGTCCATACATGTTTGCCGTCGTCATCCGAACAGTCGCTCTACTTAAGGTTGCAGATTCCACGGGATTGCCATCCTGACAGCAGCTTGTTGGAAGTGATGTATGACTTCCAAGTGATGTGCCTTCTGATGCAATGGCGGTCGAATGTGCCCATGAGCGGTGTAGTTCACAGGGCTTTTGCCGTCGGTGTAGCACATGGGGAGTGGGCACCCAAGGACCTTGCTGTCCAAGTGTCGGACATGCTTTTGCCCTCCACTTCCAAATATGGTGGACCATGCACTAGCGCATAACCGGTGTGGCTTACAGATGATGTAATGGATGATTTGTATCGACCGCACATTAGCAAGGAATTGCAGGGACAAACGGGCCAGGATATCGGAGGGTTGTAGCATTGAAGACGACTCACGACTGCGACTGATGAACCTGAGAAGTCATGGGCACTTGCCAACACCACTTGCAACTTGCTGTAAAGTGGTCGAGAAATCCGATGTCTTCAGATTGCAGCAGCATTGCCCTTTGTTACTATAGTAGGGATACCCTTTGTTCCCTTCGTAGCGTCGGATCGCTCCTAGTAAGGCCAGGAGGCGCCCCTAGTCCGCCCTGTCCTGGTGGAAGTAACGAAGCAGAAAGGCAGAGACCCCACAGAAAGGCACATGTGTGGCCAGCGAAAAAGAGGAAAACTCGAAAACGCCACCAGGCTTTGTGGTATTTGTTTACCGCTTCGTGGCTTCGTCCAGCGTGGGTCGTCCTTGGACAGGTTTGTTATGGGCTTCATGTTAGCCATCCTCACGGGTGTCCACATGCCCGATCGGTGCCATGACGTCCTGGGTGATGGGGGACTCGACGTTGGGATTCGAGGGAATTTTGGAAAAGGGATCATGAACCAGCCCGAAAACATGGAACACAGAACTTCCAACTGAGTTGTTGTGATTCTCACATGAATTGGATTCCGTGGTGTTGTATTTATATATATATATCCCACATCAGTTCCGGTGCTGAACATTGGCCACGAGCGCCATGGCAGGCGCCATGGCTCTCAAGACTTTTGGATGCTGAAAGTATGAGCATTCTGGAAGCAGTTGTAGATAGCTCGAGGGTGACAGGTGATGACAGGTGATGACAGGTGATGACAAGTGATGACAGGTGACATCCTTTTGCCACTATGGCAATGGGAGTGACAAGGACGACCTAGTTCATGTGGATGTTGAGTTGGTTGAATCTCTTTGCCTGTTCACCCACCCTCGGTCCTAGATTGCAGCACACCCATGTTTTTGATTCCTGCTTGTTTTTGCTTTGAGGCCGGTTTCAGAGCCCTTTGTGCTTGGTTTGTTTTGTGTCTAGTCGGCTTCCCATGATCTAGTTCTGTTCGGAATCATCACAGTCGGGGTCGAGATCATGTTCAACCTGGTTTTGCAGTATTGCTGGGTAGAAGAAACACTGTTTGGCAATATGTATATTATACTCTTTAGAGCTTCCTAAAGATGTGAGCGATCTTCCAAACACCATGCTGTTTGTCTTCATGTCTTCGTGTTTGTGTCGCCCACTTCTGCTTGCCTTTTTTGCTTGTGCCCTTGTTACTAGTAGCAATGCACTTGTTACTAGTAGCTACTAGCTAGCGATGCCGTTACTAGTCACGTAGACTCGACCGAGGTTTGCTTACCTTTTCTGCTTCAGCCGTCCCAAGCCACGGGGCTGGGTCTTTCTGGCTGTGATGCTGCTCATCGGGCCCGTTCCTTGGGCACACCTTCGATCGACGGAGAGCAATTGACATGGACCACAGTGCTGCGGCGTCCTGCAGCAAGAATCCCTTTGGCATCAACCAACATTGGACAGGTATCCAATCGAGGAGATAAATCAAAAAAGAATGGTCTGTAGGCCGACGGAGTAGTCAATGATAGCTGCAAGAGACCAATCCATTGGTGTTGTTTTTATAGTTAAGATTTACCATGATTTATCCTTTTGTTTGTGGTTTTCATGCGTTGTTGTTTTGTTGCGCGTTGGATTTGTTGGATGTGCTGTTCATTTTGGCGCGAAGGGGATGATTGACAGCAACCTCACTACGCGAAAAGAGCGCACCTGGGTGAGTCCCAGGCTACTGATTCACCTATCTCAATGGTTGAATTGTGCGACCTCTGACCTCAGCAATGAAGATACGGTCCATCTTACTATACACTTAAAGATACTCCCGCCCCTCAAAGACAAAAAAGAAGCAAAACACGAAAAGAAGAACCCAAAACGATGAGTCGATCGAGAGACTCGTGTCGGATCGCTCCAAGACGGGTGACTCGACGCGTCGGATCGGTCCACTTCGACGCGACGCGAGGCTTGGGGCTCCTTGGATCACATCGAAGTGCTCTCGAGGACAGCGAACGGGCGACGGGGTGGATGAGGTGTCGGAAGAGAAAGAAAAGGAATGAACCTACTAGTAGTTGCGATGGCCTCCAACCTACTAGGGGAAGAAAGAAAGGAAAAGGGAGACAGGAAAAGGAAATAGTAGCATCCGTTTCGGGACCATGTTTCACATCATGCCGCGCATCCACCATGCTAGCTTTCGTCACCAAAGCCCCCGGCCTCAAGTTAGGTGGACTGTGATTTGGTTCGTTCTGTTAGTGATCATGTCATAATCATTTCGTTCTTTTTTCTCTGGGTACTGCATGGTTCTGGTTGTGGGTAGGGGCACTCCATCCCACTCCTCAACTTGTGTTTCACCAGGATCTCCTTCACCACCGATTTCTTCAAAAAAAGTGTGGTGAACTGCTTGATTGGTGTCCTGGCTGCAAACTGTGCTGGTGCTGGCACAGATTGTTTTGGGAGGGGTGGTTGCCATGAAGGGTGGAGCTTGAAGTTCATACTGCCGGGGAGATGATACGCTGGCAACCAACCAGTGACAAGCCCTCTTCCTTTTCGTTGCTTCTTGGCGTTTGGCGATCGTTGGGAGAATCGGTGGAGTGGATTTTGAATTTCTTGTAGCTTCTAGTAGATGCCCTTTGCTCCTAGTAGCTTCTTGTTCCTATATAGTAGAAAGGCCAGGAGCTAGTAGCGTCCTTGCTCCTAGTAGCGATGCCCTTTGCTCCTAGTAGCTTCTTGTTGCTTCTTGTTCACTCCCGCACTTGATTTTACAAGTGGCCATGTGCACGTCCACTCTAGAGATACAAGATGATACAAGGAATGCCTGGTCAAGGCGGTCGAGGGTTCATCTCCCAGAAGGAGTGTAAAGACTCGCCAAAGTGAGCAACCAATTAAGCATTTTGTGGGGGTTCTATCGTCAGTGGTGGTGAGCAACCAAGCGTTTTGCTTCGAACGGCCTGTCCCACATGTTTCAACGAGCTCTTCGTAGTCCAAAAAGGGACGTCCCATCCCTGAAGGATCGTCTCACTCAGAGTGAACTCAGGAGTTGGTGTGGGAGCTTTCGCCGTCTTCCTCCTCGGTTGGCATTTCTACTGTGCTTGTCGTCATAATCCACTCTCAGGCGCGTCGGCGCGTCCAGGACATCAGGGGTGTCTTTTGTTCGGACTTGTGTAAGGGGCGGATGGTCAGGCCATGTCAGGCCTGTGAGAAGTCAAAAAAAGGCAGTGAGAGGCTTCAATAAGGCCTTCGTGCTTTCGGGTCGCAAAGGGGAATCAAAGTCACGAAGGAGAGACGGTCAGAGTAGACATGGAGCGTGCGAGCGTGCGCAAGGCAGCGCTGGCCTCAGAGATTTCAGAGGCCCCTCATTTCCCCGGGTTACAATCACTTACTAGACTTAGGGCTTGGGCCATCAACTCATGACTGCACCAATCACTTGTTTGGTGAGCTGATCCGTGTCAGTGCGAGTGTGCCAGAACTCTGAACGCTTTCCATTGTCTCCCAAATGCCACTGCAAGCAAAGCTCACCTTTGGGTCAGCTTCTTCAGTTAGTGGAGAGAAGTGTTGTCTTTTTCACTAACTGAGTTGCTTCGTTCCAGCAACGACACGTTGGGACCGTGTCCGAGCGCCGCCCTGCGGCTTTCCACCCACACCCGAGTCGACTCGTTGGGCCTTTGGAACGCACATGCCACGGCGTTCGGCGCTCTTCACCTCCCCCGAAGCGAATTGCACGGCGTTCGGCGTTGGGAGGCTTCCTCGCCTATACCTGCAGCCGCTTGGCCATCTGGATATTCTATGCCCTTTACCTCTATGTGGCGACACTTGTAAAGCATTTGCTCGGAAGAACACTTCCTCGTAAGTTGTGCAGGTCAGGTTTGGGGTGTCCTTTCTCAAGGTGTTGTTTGGTTGGAACTTTAGGCCATGGATGGATGTGATTTCCATGATCATGGGCGTTGTTTCATGTCCATCAAAAACCAGTCCCATGGTGTTCACAACTGTTTGGTGCTTTGTACCCCCCAAGTCAAGTGAAATCGGACCCGGAGTCGCGGCGGGTGTGCTGTGGAGTTGGCATGCAAGGGATTAGCCTGTGGCTAGTGACTGAAGATCAAGGTGAACAGGATTGCTCGCAAGTAGCTGAGACCTGGCAGCCAGGGCCTATAGGAGGGGTCCTAAGGTTTTCCACGGAATGTTCACTTTTAGCGAGAATCTGAGGGCCAACACCGCGGGTGTTTATGTCCACCTCCATCACTACATCATCGGCTTCCTTTGTGCGATCCTGGCGGAGTTCAATCATCCGATCTCTCTCCTTGTGCTCGCTGGAGGCAGCTGGGTCGTGGTCGCGTCGGTTCCCGAGCGGTCGGCAAGCACCACATGGAGACGCGGACGTAGCGCAAGACCTGGAGCGTCGATCTCAACCATAGGCGAAATGCTAAACGTTCGTAGCGTTCTTTACTCCGTTCGTAGCGATGCCCTTTGCTCCGTTCGTAGCTTCCTTGTTCCTAGTAGCGATGCCAGGAGCCCCGTTCGTAGCGTCCTTGCTCTAAATGCTAAACTTGTGCAACTTTCATCACCTCTGGCATCCGGCATCGATCTTTGCTTCCGTGGTGGGATGACAAGGGGCCCGTTCGCCGCCGATTCTGCGTGGCGCTGGCACAGGCACTGGTATCTTTGTGCAGGGCATTTCGGTACCTTGGGCCACGAGCGTTGATGTCGCCCAACTCCACTGTCGCGCCACGCAGACAGGTTTTGGAAGGTTTCGAGGTGTAAAACACAAGAAAGCTTCACTTGCAAAATGTGTAGCAGTTTTGAAGTTTGGGTTCAGATCGAGAGGTGTTTGTCGTTTGGGATGAAGCATGCATTTGACCTTGGGTAGCACAAAGGACAGCCAGTTACTGGTAGCATAGCGTTCTACGTTCTTTGGTGTTCTTTATGAACTGTTTGTGACTTCTGATGTCTCTTTCGTTTGACAATTAGACCTTTTCATGCTCTTTCTTTGTTCCTTTCTGTCGGAATCATCATTGCTATGCTAAAGCTACTGGGTACTTGTACCCTAGTGATCTCCAAGGTAGCCTGTGACCCCTGCAGGACCAAGTTATCCAGTGGTTCCTTCTTTTTAGAAGTGAATCTAGGAACCACATGAATAGCGTGAGCTACCCTGCGCCCAGTAGCTGGTCCAACTGCGCTGGAAAAGATCAATCTTTTCAGTTTGAAGTGCAGATCACTCGAGCGGTGATTTGGGGATGATAAGGATGCGCCCATCGTTCCTGCGGTTCCGATCTGACCTTAAGATTCCGATCCGAACAACACCCTTAATTAAGTACGCGCCTCCCTTCATTAAGTAAGGGCGGGTCAAGCAAAGAACACGTAATCCCACACATCAACAAGGCCTCGCTGGGCCTCAACACCCGCCCGACATGCCGACGCATCACCGAATGGAGTCCCGAGGCCTACGATGCAGATCCGGTCATCGAGACTTGGGGAGCTGGAGCGGTACGAGAACGTTCCAGTTAGAGGATGTGGGAACGGTTGTCATCAGGTAGTAGCAAGAAGACTACTAGCGATGGCCTCCTAATAGCTTGAAAGTGGGATGGAGCGGGGATCGTTGGGTAAGTGAAGGTCAAGCCAGACAAAAACTCCGCTTAGCAAGACATGGACCTGATCACACGTGAAATCATCACTTGGTTGATCACGTTTACTTGGGCGAGTGGAATGAACTGATCTGATTTGAAGTGTTAGACAAGTGTAAACAGAAGGTCCCGGGACAATTCATCAGGAAAAGCAAACATGTTGTTTTTTCTTTGAGAGCTGATCAAGAAAATTGTTTAAAGCTGTCCCATTTACAGCTGCTATGCTGCGCTGTGCCATTTATGTACTAGTCGTTCCCGAAAAAGGGCCTAGTGTGGCTCAAAGCGAAGGACTGTCATCAAGAGGAACAAATAGAAGGGGCAGTACCAATTCCTTTACAAAAGAACTTAGCGGCCAAAAACCGGAACCTTGGTCACCAGGCATTGCTGAAACGGACCAAATCCAATGAGTTTGCTAGTTTGCCCCATGGCATTGGTCCACCTGGCACCAAGTCGTCTCAACCCCCAATAGCGAAAGTTGAGTATTTGTGAGTAGTTTCTTGTTCCGATCGCTCCTAGTTGTTCCATGGCTACCAAGGAACGTCTTCGGCTCTTCTTCTGACGGAGCTGCTAGGCGTGTGCTGGCGCCTCGCCGTGGTCAGACGCTGTCCCCCATTGACAACCTTGCAGAAGTCGAGAATTGGTCTTCCTAGTAACCGTTTTTGGAGGTTCGATTTCTGCTCCAGGGTGTCCCAAACATTTTACACCCGCATCGAGCCAGTTTGATGTCTATTTGTGCAAATTTGGCATTCCCAGCCCCAAGAGCCAAAAGCATACCGGTCAAGCCGGGTCAAGAGCCACGAGAAACAAAGGGAGACAAAGCAGAATCATCTCAGCCCGCCATGGGAGACACAGGGGACAAGGGAAGACAAAAGGAGACAAAAGGCCAGAAATCATCTTGGCCCAGGAAGATGCAGGAGTTGAGAACCCCGAAATCAAAAGATCTGCTTGGGAAGAAAAGACAAGGCAGCTGCGGGCATGTTACCGGGTACCGCGGGCATGCCTCAGGTCTGCTGCGCATCGATCGCTGGGGTGGAAAAGATGCGGCCGGATTCAACGTGCAGAACCCAAGAGAACCACTATGAACCACGGTTGGGGGGGTCCTTCTAAGAAGTCATCGCTCTTAGGTTCCTTGAAGTTTTTCTTAAAATATGTTGTTCTATAAGTCTAGGAACCAAGGATTGAATGTGCGACCTGGTGAAGGTTCTCGGTTTGCGACTTTGGGTCCTTGTGGTCTGCGGTTCCCCTGTCTTGCAAGCCGAAGCCACCCAAATTTGAAGAGTGTCCCACAGTGTAGTATCCCCACACACAACAAACACATTGACTAAGCAATCGAATTGAACGAGCTTCCTGCACTGTTTCGAAAGGGTCCTTTTCAAACATCCCACAGTCCCAAGGATCAAAAGGTTTGCCTTAGGTCTCTTAGGGTAAGGTAAGGTTTTTCTCACATGTCCGTCAATATCTATGAGGGTCCTTCTTCCAGATCTTTGAGTAGCCGCAAGGTACATGTGTATTCAGAGCCCAGATCCACCCTCCAACATCTCATGTCCAGCTTCCCTTGGCTCAATAGCTGACTCGTCGACTTTCAATTCCAGAGATTGTGGATAATATGACGCTCGGCCTCGTGCAAGGGAAAGAGGTATCTTGCTGTTTGGTGCAATTGTTTTGCATGTAACAAAAATAGCGGTGGCCTCCAGCCTAATAGAATCCAACCTAATAGAAAGTGATAGGAAAGAAGTTGGGATAGCTCCCATATATGTAGGACGTGCGTGCAAGACGCCACTCCCCTGGACGCTTGTGAACCACGTGACCCGAAGAATCTTGGACCGTGTATTCGCAGTTCCTGCAAGGTCCCTTCACACCCGGCCAATATAGGAGTTGGCCGCCAGTCTCCGACTATCAACTGAGAGCTGAGCCAGTACAAAAATACTGGCTCTTAACTAAGATGAAGACCCAGTTGCTCGAACAGAGACATCTTTAGACACGTGTGTCTCCACCAATAACCTTTCGAACACGTTCACACGTGCCGCGTCGCCCCGCGTCGCCCCGAGGAAGTGCTTGGCGCTTCTTGCCTTCGTGACGGTTTCAGCTCTTCGCCCTGAACATGACCACCTCACTGAGGCCATGGGAGTGTGTGTGTCTTTTAATCCGAAACGAAGAAAAACACGTGACTCGAAAAAATAAAGGAAACAGCGAGAGCATGGGCGCGTTTTTTGCGACGGTGCTCTCGAACGAAAGTTCGTTGGATGTTGGGAGTCAATTCTGCGACTCGAGTTAGTTCGATGGGTCAGGCGCTTCTCGAGTCCAAGCAGACTCATGATGAGGCTGAAGGCGACAGCAAAACCGTGGGTTTTGCATGGCACAAGGGGCTTTGCCTCACAGGAATGAGTATTTGAGACAGATGCAAAACGATCCATGAACATGTTTGTCTTGCAGAGTGCTAAACCTTGGAAAATGATGATAGGGGATGGTCAAATTTGAAAAGGAATACAGCCCGCATTTTAGAAATATTGCATGTAGCTCATGTTTGAGAAACATACTCACAGGTTACCGGACAATCCGTGTGTATGTTTGGCCTCTCCATGCCATGAACCCTTGGGAGCACAGTGATCGCGACACCTTCATGGCCATTGCCAATAAGTTCCAGGATGTTCCAGCTTGGAACGCCTTCCCACTTCCAAGCATGCAAAAGTGTCCACACCTTTTGATGGTTTCAGTGTTTGTCCATGTTACGTGTTGGAGAACCCATTCTTGCTGCTTTTCCACTACCTGATGAGATTCCAAAACCGAAGTCGACAAATGACATAATCCAAAGCCAACACCTGACCATTCGCAAACCATCTGGACATATCTGGACCATCCGCTTCCTCTCCGGCAGGTCCTGGACGTGCCTAATCTGAAAAGCTGGGAGGGGTGGAGGGAGAACATCACGTCCTTATTCACACGTTGGACCTGATATGACGTGCCAAAAGGGAGTGCCTCCGACAAAGATCCCATACGCTTCTTCGCTCCAGCTGTGGAGCGAAAGACTTTCTGAAGCTGTGTCTCAATGCCAACCTGTGCCTCAGCATTCCAAGTGTTATTTTGCCTTAGACAGGTTGGGCACTCGCCTAGCATTCACGCGGACAAAATCCTGCACCGACTGATAGACCAAAATCACGTTGTGTGCACGTTCCGATGATCTAACATGATGCGAATACGAATCAACAGGAGGCTCCCAGCTCGACCTGAATAGCATGCACCAAGAAGGAGTTATCCCATGGTCTATAAAGAAAAAAGTCAAAAAGAAAACCTAATAGCGATGGCCTCCAACCTAAGAGCCGAACAAAAACAATGAAACAAATTAGAAACAATCTAGAAAACTCCGAAGTCGCCATGTGCAGACTTCCTAGATCGGACCTGAACTTACCTTTCTATTTTGGTCGAAGGAGTCATTGCTTTGACGCAAAAGCATCAGTTTTGCGTGCCCCTCGCCGGGTCCTCGCCCAGTTGCTTGCTGCGCTTACGAGAAAGTCAAAACGATGGGGATCACCCGCAACAAGTGCAAGGAGGGATCCGATCCAATACGCTGCTCGGTGAAAGATCTGGGTCGGTGCCCCGCCCCGCGAAGGTGAAACGGTTGAATTCTTCCTGAACGAAGTCTAAAGGGAAGCAGCAACTAACTCACCAGCTTTAGGACGGTTGATGGCACGTGAGTGTTTTTATCCATGGGTTACCAACTGCACCAATAAGAAAGAAGCTGACGCAAAGGTGAATTTGAAGATCAAGGACCTCCCCTCTACGACCATCCTTCTTACAAACACAAATGTCCGCAAATGTCAAACCCTGTCCATGGTTTCAGAAGAGGATTTCAGCAGTGCTCTCAGTCGGGTAGTCGGAGACGGCGTCGGAGCTCCAGGGATGCGCAGTACGCCAATGGATGACCCTTACTTGTGGCAAGAAAAAGAAGTTGTAGTAGCGATGGCCTCCAACCTACTTAAGAGCGGTGCATGTATCGCTCGTCATATTTATATATTGTTTCTACTAGCTTCTTATTACTAGTAGTAAGGCACTTGTTACTAGTAGCGATGCCCTTGTTTCTAATGTATTTCTGCCAAGCCTTGAAAGATTCTCAGGTCCAGGGACGAACGATCGTTCACCGGTGACCAACCCAATAGGTCGGTTGTGAGGTGCGAGGCATCCGTGTTTTGAAGCTGAAAGACACCACGGTTTCAGTCGCTGCACTAAGTCGTGCCAGTCAAGCAGAGGTTCTGCTGTCGTTAAGCAGCCTTTAGAAGGCTCAGTCGGTTCTTCTTTTCACGCTGCTTCTCACTCATCTCTTTTGCTTCTTTCGGTGTTTGCCTTATCGTTCGGTGTATTCAGAACATCCCTTTGGTCGCCCAAGATCGGTTCGAACACTGAGGTAATCCCTCCAAGTGTGGTGGTGAAAGCTGCAGCTTGGATGTAAAGGGAACCTAATAGCGATGGCCTCCAACCTGCTGGCGATGGCCTCCAACCCAATTACTAGCGATGGCCTCCAACCTAATAGTCGATAGTAAGTCTCAGGGATGGCAAGAATTGCTTTTCATATCATCCAAGCTCTGTCCTTTGTGTTTATTTCCGAGTTTTGTTTCACAGAAGCTTCGGGTGGACGACCGAGGCCAAAGTCCCGAAAAGGGCTGGAAGTGTTGGACGCAGAGCTCCAGGAACGTCTTCTGCACTGAGCCAGTTTGAGCCGAATCTCTGAGGGCGGCGGAGGTTTCCTTGTGTTGGAGGTAATTTACAGAAAAGAAGCGGAAGAAAACTTTCGTTCAGCAGTAGAGTTCTGGAGTTCACTAGAGTTCAGCAGCCGCGCCATGACCGCCCATGCACGTCCAAAAGAGGTGCAGTTGGTGCAGTTGTGCAAATGCAATGTGTTTCAATCCGAATCTTTGTGTGTTGGCACACAGTGGATTCAGATTCATCCAGACACCCCCGAGTTCAGTTGTTTCGACGAGTAACATACTTGATACTTGGGATTTTGAAGACCAGGTGTCGCGCCTCCTTTCGCGAGCTGTTGTTATTTCCCCGGACGGTCAGAACCCTTCGAATCTGCAGGATGATTCAGATGACACCCTTCGGTTGCGATCTTGTAAAATGTGTGGTGCAGATAGCGATGGCCTCTAACCTACTAGGAGCAAGAGGACGCTACTAGGGTCTCCTGGCATCACTACTAGCAGCAAGAGGACGCTACTAGTAACAAAGGCCATCGCTACTAGTAGCTAGAAAACGCTACTAGTAGCTCCTGGCATCACTATACTAGTAGCTAGAGGAGGCTACTAGGGGCTCCTGGCCCTACTACTAGTAACCAGGACAAGTGTTTCGGTGCTTGCAGGATCCTCTTGGGAGCCAAACATCCCCATAGTACTCCCTTGGCCAAGCTGTGGCCTGATGATCCGCATTCCCTTGGCGAACCCTCCCAACTGCCACATGCTTTGGCCCAAACAACGGGATGGCTAGCTTTTGCGCGATGGATTGAGGCGACGATGGATTGCGCAGGTGAACAGAACATGAACATGTTTGAAGTTGGTCAGCCACGTTTTACGTACGAAGTCAGCTTCTTTTGACGCTGTTGAATAGCCTACTCCACTCAGATTGCTGCCCACATCCAGTATTCCAATACGTTTCAAGGGTGGGTCCATGACTGAAACGGTTTCAATGTGCTTGTGTTTTGCTTCACGGACTAACATGGAAGAACTACGTGTTTCTGCTTGTTTGCTCTTTTCTTCGAACCTTTAGGCTGTTCCTTTCCTTTCTCTTCCTTCTAAATCTTAGACCTCTGAGCCGTGAGCCGCACATGCTCCACCCTTCAAGGTGCTCTCTCTCGCGGCAAATGGCCTTCAGCGGCGGCGTCGCTGAGTCTTAAAACGTCGGGCACCGTCGGGCACGGTGGCTCGTGGGCTTCCAAAAAGAACCCTACACTCCTAGAATGGCTACTAGGAGCAAGGACGCTACTAGGGGCTCCTGGCCTTGCTACTA